CAAGGCGCTCTCTGCGGCGATCCAGCCGCCCGCGGCTGCGGTCGGGACCGTCGACGGACGGGCAGGTCGCACAAACCTCGACCGAGGCCCGGACGCGGTCGAAACAGGCCGCGGAGACCATTCGCCGCTTCTCGGCCGAGACGCTTTCGGCGAGTGTCGGGCACCTTGTGGGCGTCGGAGACGGTGTAGATCGCCGTGCAGGAGCTCTATGATGTCGAACCGCCCGACGGAACACAGCGACGGTGATCGGTCGACGTGAAACGCTGCGCTTGGCGCCGAAATCATTCGTTTTCGGGCTATTTGAGGCCACTTTTGACCAGAACAACCTCTCGCACGCCGATTTCGCAACCCGGGGCGACTCCGACGCCTTCGCCCGCTCGTCACATATGGTCTACGCCTTCGACGACAGCCAGCCCGCCGCCAGCGCCCACAGGCGCACCGCGGCTCGCGTTTTCGGTCGAAGCGTTTCGGCGCCCGGCGGACATTCGCGAGCGGCCGGAATTTCGACGAAACATCAAAAACTGCGCAGCACCATCGTGTAGCATCATGATAGGAAGCTTTGAGTGGTGGTCGCGTTTGAGAGTTCCTCGATGCGCCGGAGCACGGCTGGATCGCCCAATTCCGGCACTTTTTCGACCGCCGTGCGCGCGCGCGCAGTCGGCTCTACGAGCGCCGGAAGGTCGCGCGCGGCCCTCCCATACGACCTAGACCGCGGGATCAATCGCTGCGCGGCCCGTGGGCACGCGCGCGTGGGCGCACTGGTCGCTGCCGAGGCCAAGTGGCGAGGCGACCGCACGCCGATTCAGCAGTGGATGAGCTGGGCATTTTGCGCAAGGGAACGATGACAGATAGCAATTGTTAGGCAGGCCCTCGCATCCGACGAAAGACGAGTACGAGCGACCCATGAGCGCCTTGCTCCCCGCGCCAATCATCCGCAAGCCGCCGAAGCGCTCGCGCGCGCAGACGGCCGAGGAGCAGCTCGAGGAGAGCCGCATCCTGCGACGCGTCGAGAGCGCCTTCGAGGCCGCCTTCGCCGCCTCGCGCGGCGACGCCGCGGCGCACGCGCGGCGCGTCGAGGTCTACCGAAGCGTCGTGGACAACGTTTTGGACTACCCCGACGCCGTCGACGGGCTCCGGAACCCGCGGCGGCTGCGTTTGGACAAGCTCCGGCGCGCGCTGCCCGGGGGGGACGCGCTCCTCGCGCCGCTGCGCGCGGTCGGGTTCCGCGAGCGCGTCGGCGGCGCGCCGCCCGCGGCGTTCTACGTCCTCGACGACGCGCCGCGGACTCTTGACACGCCGGGGGCCCTCGCGCTCCTCGCGCTCGCGCGGAACCTCGTCGCCGAGGAGCGGGCGAATCTCCAAGAGTAATATTTTTTAGAGATGCTTGGAAAAGAAGTCGAACGCGAGGTCGTTCTGCGACCGCCCGCCGACGGTCGCGTTCCACGCGCCGTGGCCCGCGCCGGCGAGGAGGCGGAGCGCGCACGTCGCGCCGACGGCGGCGTAGCGCGCGCAGAGCCACTCCGAGTTCGCGGGCACGATGACCGTGTCGTTCGTCCCCGCGAAGGCGAGGAGCGGCGGCGACGTCGCGGCGACGCGCGGCCGGCCGTCGAGCCACTCGAGGACCTCGGCGCCGTAGGCCGCGCCCCACTGCGAGAGCGCCGCGGCGATCTTCGACGACTCGCCCACGTGCGTCGACGCGAGCGTCGGGTCGTCGGCCTCCTCGTCCTTGAAGTCGGCCTCGTCCGCCGCGACGAGGGCCATGACGGACGTCGCGCCCGCGGACGAGCCCGACGCCGCGACGCGGGCGCCGTCGACGCCGAGGTCGGCCGCGGCGCTCCGGAGGTAGCGGATCGCGGCCTTGGCGTCGCGCACCGCGGGGTACATGTGGTCGTAGTTGTTGCCGTACCACGACGACGCGTTGAAGAGGGGCTCGAAGGCGCCCGCGCCCGCGGGGTAGTTGCCCCGGTCGCCGGAGAGCCGGTAGTTGATCGACGCGGCGACGTAGCCCCGCGCGGCGAAGTACCGCGCCTGGGCCACCTCGCCGGTCTCGTTGGAGTCCAAGATGCAGTAGGAGCCGCCGTGGATGACGACGAGGAGGGGCTTCAGGCCCGGGGCGCCGACGGGCTCGTAGAGGTCCAGCGTGAGGCCCCGCGACGCGAGGCAGTCCGTGCCGTTCGTGCAGTTCGTCAGGCCCCGCGCGTAGGTGACCCCGAAGGTCGTCCTGACGTCGTAGAGCGCGTGCGCGACGGCGAGACAGGCGACGAACAACCGGGCCATATGGGCAGCCCTCATGAAATACATGTAATGTTCAGCATAAGGTTCAATAAAGCGCTTGTGGCAAAACATGGCAGCGCTAAACGAAGCTGTCGCCGCCGTCGACCTCGCGGCGGAGCCGACCACGATCGACCTGAGCGACGCCGTCGTCGAGGGCATCGCGCGACAAATCCGCAGCGACGGCTTCGCCGTCGTCGACGGCGCCCTCGGCGACGCCCACGCGGCGGCGCTGCGGTCGTCGTGCCTCGCCGTGGACAAGACGGCGTCGACGATCGCCGAGGGGACGAAGATGACCGTCGACGGCAAGCGGCGCGACGACGTGATCGCCTGGCTCAAGAAGAGCGACGACGCCGCCGTCGCCGCGCACCGGGCCGCGATGGACGCGCTGCGGGCGAAGCTCGAGGCGGCGCTCGCGCTCAAGATGGACAGCAGCTCCTTCATGACGGCCCAGTACGTCGCCGGGTCCGCGGGCTACGTGCGCCACCGCGACAGCGCGCCGCGCCGGCCGTCCGGGCGCAAGCTCACGGCGATCTACTACCTGAACCCGGCCTGGACGGCGGCCGACGGCGGCGAGCTGCGGATCTGGCCGGACAGCTGCGCCGAGGCCTACGTCGGCGGCGCCCGCGACGACGCCGGGCCGCACCGGGACCTCGCGCCGCGGCACGACCGCCTCCTCGTCTTCCGGTCGGCGCTCGAGCACGCGGTCCTACCGTCGCGCGCGGACCGCCTCGCGCTGACGGCGTGGTTCTTCAACAAGCTCGAGCTCGGCCTCGAGCTCATCGCCGAGAAGCGCGCCCTGCGGCAGGCGCGCGAGGTCGAGTACGAGTGCGAGCGCGGCTGCGGCTTCCGCGGCGGCTTCGACGCGGTCGCCGCGCACGAGGCGACGTGCGTCGCCGCGGCCCAGTAGCTCTGCGTAACATTTTGTGTTTCAGAGGTCGCGGTCTTCTCGCTAGTGTCATCGTCAAAACGAGCTAGAAAGTGGTGTTAAAGAGATCGCGGATGTCGCGTGCGTTCTGTGGCGGGGTCCGACGGCGAGCGGCGCGGGCGCCGGGTCGCCGGGAGCCGGCGGCGTCGTCACGCGGCCCCGAAGACGGGGAGGCGCGGCGTCGCGTCCCCGTCGTCAAAGGAGAAGAACATGCCGTGGCCCGGCGACGGCGGCCGCACGCCGTGGCCCGGCGACGGCGGCCGCGGCGCCGCCGGCGGGCAGCCCCGCTGCGGCGTCGCCGGGCCCGTCCGCGGCGCCGCGCGGTCGCCGCAGCGCCGCCGCGCGAAGGAGCCCGGCGTGCGGGGCGACCCGGCGCAGCGGGGCGACCCCGGCACGAAGGTGCATCGGGGCGACGCCGGCGCGCCGCCCTCCGCGAAGTGCGGGCAGCCCGACCAGTAATCCATCGTGCCGTCGGCCAGCTCGAAGTCGACGTGGTCCGCGAAGTCCGCCAGGCTCTCGCTCGACGTGTGCAGGATGGGCTTCGCGCCCAGGCGCTGCACGGAGGACGCGTGGCGGCAGTGGGCGCCGTGCATGAGCTCGTGGATGACGGCGATGGGGCTCAGGTCCGCCTCGCGCCACGACGACGCGCTGCGACTCCTGCCGTTCTCCTTCATGAGCGTCGCCGGAGACACGGCGTCGGGCTCGCTGGCCGCCGGCGGCGCGGGCTGCTGCAGCAGCGACGAGAGCATACTGACGGCGAGGCTCGACGATCCGCGATAAGAGCTCGGGTCGTGCACGGGGCAGCTGCTCGGGAATACGTGGTATCCCGAATTGTTTCGCGTTCTGACGCACGAAACTGCCAGTTGAGCACGGCGCAGGAGCGGCGAGGGACAACTTGAGGGACACTCATTAGAGGAACTCACTCACCTAATGATGCAGGTCTGCATCCGCGCCGCGAGGAATGGGTCGATCTCGCGCGCGATGCGGTAGACCTCGCGGTGGAAGCCCATCGGCGAGTCCTTGTACTCGCGCGCGAAGAGCACGCACGGCAGGTCGTCGGAGAGCATGCAGCGCACGACGCCCTGGATCGCGCGCAGCGTCTCGAGCCGCGGCGACACCTCCATGGCGAGCAGCGCCCACGGGCTGAGGAAGCGCGTGTAGTTGAAGTGGTCGAGCGAGTGCATCACGGTGCCGAGGAAGTACCTACGCACCCACGCAGGCGTCAAGAGCGTCGTCGACGCCGATGCCAAGACGCGGGGCTGTACGCTTCGGCGGAATAGCTCGCGGGGAAGGCCTCCCGGTGCTCGTCGAAGCAGCGCATGAACGGGCCGCGCAGGCGAACGATGAAGCGCACGAGCCGCGAGTGGGCGACGAGCCGTCGCACCTCCGCGTGCGGCGGGGGCGTCACGGCGAGCGACGCCTCGAAGACGGCGTCGAGCTCGCGCGCCGCGCCTTTCGAGAGCAGCAGGCCCATGATCCACGGCGCGTTCGCCTTGCCAAAGTGGTTGTAGAGGGCCGTGACCACCGACGTGCGCCGGAGGTACGGGTGGCCGACGCCGTCGTCGGGGTCGATGGCCCAGTTGGCGTAGGCGTGGACTTTCGGATGCTGGTCGGCGGCGAGCGCGTGCGCGAGCAGCGCGACGAGGTCGGGGAGCCCGAGCCGCTCCTCGTTGAGCGTCGCCTTGAGGATGGCGCGCCGCGTCAGGTCGACGTCCACGGAGAAGAGCGTGCCCTCGCGCCCCGCCGGCGCGACGTCGCCCGACTCGGCGTCGTCGACCATGAAGGGGAAGGGCGTCCACACGAAGGAGCCGACCTCGTCGCCCGACTCCTCCGCGCGGAGCACCTGGAACTGGATCGCGAGCGACGACTCGAGCAGCAGGTCGCACGCCGTCGAGTGGAGCTCCGCGTCGGTCGGGCGGCGCAGCAGCCGGAGGCGGCGCAGCACCGTCGCCAGCAGCAGCTGCGCGAAACCGACGACGAGCAGCAGGATCGACGGCACGGCGACAAGTGCGCGCCCCACACGTACTGCGCGAGGGACAGACGCACGTGGTTCATGTCGAGGGCCTCGGCCGCGACGGCGGGCGACAACGGCTCCTCGTCCTCCTCGTCCTCGTCGTCGTCGTCCTCCTCGTCCTCCTCCTCCTCCTCGTCCGCGTCACCGAACTCCTCGCGACTGTCGGCGCGAAAGAAGATCGAGCGCGCGCGCGAGGAGAGGCGTTTCATCGAGCCGCGACTGTCGGCGCGGGAGAAGAACGAGCGCGAGCGCGAGGAGGCGCTTTTCATCGAGCCGCGCGAGGAGAGGCGTCGCATCGCGTGCGCGTGGAGCGCGGAAGCCGTGCCAGGAGAGATACCGCCTGAAGCTGTTGCTGCTACCGCCGCGGGCGCGCCACCAGCGGGCGTCGTCGTATCGGTCGTCGCAGCGGCGGCGGCGGCAGACGCGTCCGCGAGGCTGCGGCTGGACTGCGTTGACGCCGACGCGAGGCTCGGCCGTTTCCGTAGGGCAGCGGCCGCGGCGGAGAAGACCTCCGATGGCGAAAAGCTGGTGCTCTCCCGAATCAAGCTTGCGCGCGGTGAAGGCGCCGTCACTTCGAGCACGCGTTTGAGCGAGCCGCGAAAGTCGGTCAGCATCCGCGCGGCCTCCTCGCGGAAGTCCTCTCGGAGACTGGGACGTTTGCGAAAGCTCGGCGATCGCGCCGAGAGCCGGCGCGTGCGGTGAGAGAAGTGCCGCCGCCAATAAATGATGCTCGTGCCGATCCACAGCAATTCAAAAGAGGCCAGCACTCCGAGCAGCAGCGGAAGAAGCGCCGGCGTCGCTGGCGGCGGCGGCGGTGGCGGCGGTGTCGGAGTGCGAAAGAGCCGCATCAGCAGAAGCGCCGGCGATTGTGGCGGCGGCGGCGGCGCGCTGATCGAGAACAAGAAGCCCATCATGTGCCAGTGCGGCATCTTGCCTCAGCAACTTGCAGTGCAAGGACCAACACCCACCCTTCTTACCCGCGGCCACCAACCCCGCGAGCCGCGACGCCGGGTCGCGGAGGAGGTCCGCGGGCCGGCCCTCCTCGACGACGCGGCCGTCGTCCAACACGACGGCCAGGTCGAACGCGGCGACGTGGGCGAGGCGGTGGCAGACGACGAGCACCGTCGCGTCGAGGCCCCTCAGGAGGACGTCGTGGACCTTGGCGTCCGTCGCCTCGTCGACGTTCGCCGTCGCCTCGTCGCAGAGCAGGAGCGGCGGCGGCGCCGGCAGCAGCGCGCGCGCGAGGGCCAGCAGCTGGCGCTCGCCCGCGGAGAAGTCGTCGCCGCGCTCCGCGCAGACGTGGTCGAGCCCGCCCGGCAGGCGCCGCACGGCCGCGGCGACGCCGACGCGGTCGAGCGCGGCCCAGACCGTTTCGTCGCCGCAGGTCGCGGAAGGGCCCAGAAGGTTCGCGCGGACCGTTTCCCTGGCCAACGTCGAGCTCTGCTCGACCACCCGCACGCGCGCCCGCGCGTCCGCGAGCGGCAGGCCCGCGAGGTCGACGCCGCCGACGGTCACGGCGCCGGCCGCGAGCGGGTAGAGCCGCGCGAGCGCGCCGACGAGCGACGACTTGCCGCTGCCCGTGCGGCCGAGCACCGCGACCTTTTCGCCCGGCGCGACGGCCAGACAAACCCCCCGGAGCGCGAGGGGCCGCGAGAGCCGGTACCGCAGCGCCACGTCCGTCGCGACGAGCGCCGCCGCGCTGCCCGGCGCCGCCGGCGCGCGGCCGCGGCCGTCGTCGCGCTCGCGCGGCAGGCGGCAGTACTCCGCGACGCGCTCCACGGACACGAACTGCGCCTCGAGCGTCGCGAGGCCGCACATGTAGTCCATGCCCGCGCGCTGCAGCGACGCCGCGTAGAGCAGCACGAGGCCGAGCTGCCCCGTGGACACGTCGCCCCGCCGCACGAGCAAAACGGCGCAGAGCCCCGCGGCGAGGTACAAAACGCAGCCGTTCATCGTCGTCAGCGCCTGCGACCACTTGGAGCACGCGTCGTTCGCGTACTTGCCCGTCGCCATGGCCTCGACGAGGCGCGCGTTCGCGTCGCAGAAGCGGTCCAGCGCGCCGAAGGCCGCGACCGTCTCCCGGCCCCGTAAGGCGTCGTTGAAGTGCGCGTAGCAGGGGCCGTGCGCGGCCGCCTCGAGGCGCCGCGTGTCGCGCGCGGCGACGCGCACCGTCGAGAAGATGAAGCCGTAGGGCACCAGGGCCAGGGGCAGCATGAGCGCGACCCAGGGCGCGAAGTAGAGCACGAGACCGAGCTGCGACGCGACCGTCAATGTCCGCGTGAGCTGGTCCAAAAACACCGTCGGCACGTCGACGTCCACGTTCGCCAGGTCCTGCAAGAAGCGGTTCAGCGCGTTGCCCTGGGGCGTCTCGTCGAAGAAGCGCAGGGGCGCGCCGAGCACGCCGTCGAGCATCTTCTCGTGGAGCGTCTTCGACGCGTCCAACGCGCAGAGCGTGAGCAGGATCGTCTGCAGCGCGAGCAGCCCCGCCTGGAGCACGCCGATGGCCGCGTAGACCACGAGGAAGCGCGTCTGCGCCGCGCCCTCCGCGCCGTCGTCGGCCCAGACGGAGAGCCAGACGTTCGACGCGACGGCGCACCCGCACGCCGCGACGGCGATGGCCGCGAGGCTCGCGCTCGTCGCGCGCGACCCGAAGGCGTCCAGGTACAGCAAAAAGTCGCGGTACGCGATGAAGCCGCCCCTCCGGCGCTCGGGCTCGTCGCCGTCCAGGCCCAGGAGCGACCGCTCGAGCCGCGCCGCGAGCGCGCCGTCGACCGTCTCGCCCTCGCGCGCCGCGAGCAATCGCCGCAGCTCCGCCGCGACCTCCTCCAGCGCCACGGGCTCGCGCCGCGCCGGCGCGTGCGTCTCCACGCTCGGCTCCGCGACGGGCGCCTCCTCGACGGCGGGCGCCTCCTTGGCGTCCTCGATCGAGCGGGCCGGCGCGGCCGCGCCGCGCGGACCGAGGTCGACGACGCGCGACACCTCGGGCCGCGCCGCGTAGGCGAGCTGGTGCGTCGCCAGCACGACGGCGCAGCGGCCCGCGAGCGGGGCGATGGCGCGCTCCCAGAGCGCGGCGCCCGTGTGCGCGTCGACCGCGCTAAAAACGTCGTCGAGGACGAGCACGTCCGGCTCCGCGTAGAGGGCCCGCGCGAGCGCCACGCGGCTCCGCTGGCCGCCGGAGAGCCGCACGCCGCTCGGGCCGACGGGCGTCAATTTGCCGTCGGGCAGCGCGGCGAGGTCCGGCCCGAGGCCGCAGTCGCGGAGACAGGCGTCGACCCGCGCGTCGTCGACGGGTAGCCCGAAGGCGACGTTGTCGACGACGGTGCCCGTGAGCAGGAAGGGGTCCTGGCCCACGTAGGCGCGCGCGAGGCCCGGCGCCGTGCCCGCCCAGCCGTCGACCGCGGCGCCCGCGCCGCAGAGCGACCGCAATAACGTGCTCTTCCCGGACCCCACGGGCCCGACGACGGCGACGACCTCGCCGCGCCGGCACTCGAACTTGGCCGTCGCCACGGCCCGCGCGCCGTAGCCCACGGCGCCGTCGACCGCGGCCGCGGCGTCCGACGGGAACGGCGGCGGCGCGGCGGGCTCCTTCGGCGCGCGCAGGAGGAACTCCGCCAGCCGCTCGACGGACGGCGACAGCGACGACCACAAATTGTAGATGTCGGGCAGCGTGTTGATGGACCACTCCATCTGCGTGATCCAGGCCAGCGCCGTGAACGCGACGGCGGGCGACAGCGACTTCTCCTCGACGAGCGCGTACCAGGAGAAGATGGCCACGGGCACGGCGAGCGCGGCGACGCAGCCCACGAAGACGTTGAGCGCGTCGAGGTACCGCGTCGTCTTCAGCGCCGCCATCTCGGCCTCGCGCGCGGCCGCGACGCGCGCCTTCACCGACGCCGTCCACCCCCGGAGCTTCGCGAGGCGCACGCCGGCGAGCATCTCCGTCGTCAGCTTCGCCCGCGCGTCGCGCGCCTCCTGGAGGCGCAGCACCGCCGGCTTCGTGCGCTTCCCGATCTCGAGCGCGGCCTGGTTCGCCGCGACGACCGTGGCCGCGCCGACCAAGGCCGCCGCGCCGAGCCTGGGCAGGACAAGAGAAATTCAACGTCGCTTCAACGTGAGTGTTCCGCGCGCGCGCGTTCCGAAAAAAAGCATTCACGCTTCGAGACCGTTCCGAGAGATGATCGCTCGTCCAAAAATCAGCCGAAACGAGTGGAAAACGGCCGAGAAAGGAGCCTTTGAAGTTGGGAATTTCGCTCTCTTGTCCTGCCCCGCGCCGAGCAGGTCGTACATGCAGTAGGCCACGGCGGGCAACGAGACGACGGCGAAGCTCCACTGGGCCGCGAAGAAGAGGGTCCAGCTCCAGCGGCCGAGCTTGTCCGCGTCCGTCGCCATCAAATTCGTGAGCTTGCCCGAGTCCTCGTCCGTCCGCGAACCGACGGCCGCGCGGAAGACGAGGGGCACGATGGCCGTGCGGCAGTTGTTCATGGCCCGCACGCTGCCGAAGAAGCAGACCTCCATGCAGGCGACGCGCACGAACATGCTCGCGGACAGCGCCGCGGCGTAGCCCAGGTTCCGCCGCGCCGCGGCCGCCGAGTCCGCGCCCGCGCCGTCGAGCAAGCGCCGCAGGATGATCGGGTCGAGGAACATGAGGCCCAGGAAGAGCCAGCCGTGGCCTAGAGCGCCGAGCACGACGCGCGGCTGCATCCTCGCGAGCAGCGCGACGAAGAGCGCGCCCGCGCCGCCCGGTCGCTCGAGCCACGTCGCCTTGAGCGCTCGGGCGAGGCGCGCGGCGCCGTCGCTCCGCGGCAGCTTCGGTAAGTCGCCGGCGTCGAGGCGGCCCTTGGCGTTGGCCGCGCGCAGCGTCGGCGTCATCCACCAAAACGTGTACGTGCTCGCGAACCCGGCCGCGTCCTGCGGCGCCGCGCGCGGGTCGACGCGGCGCCGCCGCCGCAGCAGGGCGGCGACGACCGCGAGCGCGGCGGCGACGGCGCCGACCGCGCAGGCCGCGGCGCCGCAGCGCGCCGAGAACGACGCCGCGCAGCGCTTCGGCGGCGGCGGCGGCCAGCGCGCGCCCAGGCGCCACGAGGCCGCGCCGAGGCCGGCGCAGAGAAGCACGGGCACGAGGAGCACGCAGCGCGCGCCGCGTCTGCGCTCTTTGTGGAGCACCGCATCGTCGTCGTAGCTTTCCAGGAGCGGCGCCCGGAGCAGCTCGTCGGTGCTCATGTTTTGCCACTTCAACAATTCAATGTCACTTCAGTATGTATGTACTCTCGCAAATAGCCAACGTTGACGAAACTCGCGTTCCTAATTTCGCATATCAGCGCCTCCGTCGCCCACGTCGCGCGGGACTTCTTGGCGCTCCGCGCCGGGCCCGCGGCGCCGCCCGCGCCGCGGCGGCCCGGAGCTCCGCCGCGCGGCTGCCCCCTTAGGAGCGACCCAAAACGCCGCCCGAAGGCTGCCCCGGCGCCATGGACTGGCGCATCGTCTTGAGAAGCAGGATCCTCGGCAACGAGCGCTGCCACGAGGGCATGACGTGGGTGGGGCGCGGGGGCCTCGCCTTCGAGTACACGCTCGACAAGGACATGGACAAGGAGAGGACGGTGGTCCAGGCCTTCCCGGTGCACAGCATCGAGGTCGCGAACCGGTTCTACACCAAGGTCCTCGGCTGCGGGGAGACGAGGTTCCGCTCGCCCTACCTCCAGGACTACCCGCTCTTCGGCCACCACCTCGTGGCCCACTTCGCGGGCGACGACTACCGCTGCGAGGACGAGGACGTCGGGTCCGCGGTCCGCTTCCCGCACTTTGGCGTACGCGTCGCGCAGCACCACTTCGCCGAGACCGTCCGGCGCCTGGAGAAGCACAGGGTCGACTACGAGTACGTCAGCGCGCCCTACTTCGACGGCCAGACGGCGGTCTTCTTCCGGGACCCGTCCGGGAACAACGTCTACGTGCACGGCGCGGATCTCTACCCGCCGCGCGTGCCCGGCGGCCGCCGGCCGCGCGGCGCGCCGCCGACGCCGGACGTCGCGGACCACGCGCCGCCGAGCCCCGACGCGTCGCCGCGGCCGCCGCCGCCGCCGCCCCTCGACGGCGCCCCGGCGCTGCCGCGGCTCCCGGAGCGGTCGAGCGCCGTGTCCAAGAGCGGGCGCCGGGGCCTCACGACGCGCGCGCTCCGGGCCCGCGAGCCGACGACGGTCGACGTCGACGGCATGCGCTGGTCCGCGGGGCCGCGGAGCGGCGAGCGCGTCGCCGTCTCCGTCGCGCGGCTCGAGGCCCGCGCGTCCGCGTCGCCGACGCGGTCCGACCCGGGCTCGCAGCGGCCGAAGCGCCGCGAGCGGCACCGGCGGTCGACGGCCTCGGTCGTGTCCCTGCCGGCGGCGCGGCGCCGCGCGCCGAGCCGCGCGCGGAGCAGGCGGTCCGCGCCGGCGAAGCCGACGGCGCTGCCCGCCGTCGCGCGGATGCGGGCGAGCGCGGACTGGCGCACGAAGGCGGGCAACGCCGAGGACATCTGGGACCAGTACCAGCTCAAGGCGAAGCAGCGCCAGCTGAGCATGACCAAGGCCTGGACCTGCGCCTTCTGCAACCATAGCAACGACCCCGCGGCCATCGACATCGACGGCGACGCGAACACGTGCGACTCGTGCTCCGCGCCGCGCGTGATGACCGACTCGCGGCGGTCGTTCGGGGGCTAAACTTTGTATGTAGCGGAAAATGCGCGCCTAGGCGCCGCGGTTCGTCGCGTCGACGAGCGGCGACCGCGCCGGCGAGTCCCCCAGCAGCGCGCGCTTCTTCTTCGCGGACGCGGCGAGCTTCTCCTCGAGGCGCGCGAGCATGGCCTCGGCGTCCTCGCAGACCGCCGCCGCGTCCGCCGGCGCGGCGGCGGGGTCCGCCGCGTCCGCCGGCGCCGCGTCGGGCCGGGCGCCGCGGTGGTCGCGGAGCCGCGCGACGAGCTCGGACTTGCGGCCCGAGAGCTTGAGCCCCGCGGGCCGGAGCAGGTCCTTGAGCTCGGGCACGGTCATGGCGTCGAGGCCGTCGCCGGCCGCCGGCGCGTCGGGAGCCTTCCTGGGCTCGCTCGCCTTCCGCGGCTTCCGCTCCTCCTCGGAGTCGTCGTCGTCGTCCGCGTCGTCGCTCTCCCAGGCGCTGTCGGAGTCGTCGTCGTCGAAGCGCACGGCCTTCTTCTGCCCGCTGAGCGCGAGGCGCCGCGCGGGCGCCTGCGCGGGGAGGCCCCGGGGCCGCACGGGCCGGGCCGCGAGCGGCACGCGCGCCCTGGCCTTCTTCGCGCTCTCGGGGAGCTTCGGCGTCGGCGGCGCGCGCGCGGCGCGGATCTTGGCCTTGACGAGGCAGTTGTGGTACCAGCGGAGCGCGAGGCGCGCGTCGGCGGACGTCGTCGCGACGAAGGGGTTCGTCTTGAGCTTGGACGCGGAGAATTTGGCGACGGAGTTGGACACGTGGGCCTCGAGGCGCGCCGCGAGCGCCTTGGGGTCCGGGGGCGCGCCACCGGCGGCCGGCGCCGCGGGCGCGCCGGCGACGGACCGCGCGGCGGCCGCCGCCGCCGCGC